TGGCTTAATCAACAAGTCATGATTCGAAGAAGATTTTTTCTTTTAAAATGCACAGATTTCATAGCTTCACTGATGATTGAATATAGATCAGTCAGTGGGGGTGTACACTAGGAATACTGATGGGATTTCTTCAGTTTCCTTTGTCATCACAGTCTATATACTTTAATAATTACTGGTATATTTAGGAGAAAAACAGGACCTCTATTGATATCCATAACTGGTAAAGCATTAATTCTATAATTGCTATAAAATCAATAAGTAAGTCATATAAATGATATGTTAACTTTTATAAACCTTTCGCCGTGCATCGCACTTGTATATCTGCTAATAATTTAAAATTAAACATTAATTTGTAAGGTGGTAAAGTGGAAGACGATATGATAACATTAAATAATTTTTATGAAGTCTAAAAATAAAATGATTTGAAAAATAAGGATTAAAAAATAATAGAAATGTGTTGTTGAATACAAAAGGCGTAAAATAAGTAATGGTAGAAACTGAAAGGTCGAAAGTTGAGAGTTAATGTTTAAAATATATTAAATTTTTAGGGCGAATTTTACTGTTGCGAGAATTAAGGTTAAGGCCTTAAGCGTTGGTAGTGTACGAATGGCATTACATTATTTTTGTTGTTGTTAAGCACAAAACTACACAACTGGGCTATCTTTTCTCTGCCCACTACGGGTATCGTAATCCAATTTTTGAAGTTATAAGCGTACAGACTTACCGCTGATCCACAGGTGGAACAGTAATTCAGTAAACCTTATTCATATTTCTTTGTTTGAAATATTTATTTAGTTGGAAATCCAAATTCGATACTTAAAAAAGACGAATGATAGAATGATTGAATTAGTGAGTGTTGAGGAACAGGAAGGTTCTTTTAAGTGTTTATAAAATATTTATGACTGTTCAAACTTTCTTTAAAGGCCACTTGGGTTTGTACAACATACTGATGATTACATGTTAACACAGTATGAGATAGATGATGATTCGTATTGGACAAGTAATCTCTTTCTTGATTTTAAGACGGTTTAACTTGTGTGGACCATGCTTCTATGAGATGACTACTGGACTTAAAAAATTTGAAATGCATGATTGCACATTAGACAACGAGTCTACACAAGTACAACTTCATTGTGCGGGTGAGCAGCACAGAAATTCCAATGGAGTACCTTGCCAACACTTGAGATCATCCCTGTTCATTCAAGATCTTGAGCACTATGTATCAGTTAAAGCGAATGTAGCAGCAGTGATGATGAACTATACAAGAAATGATATCTCTACATTTGGATGGACTCCATGTGTGACCAGACAGGAACGTCTGGAGGAATAATTGAATAACCCACATCTAGCTTGGGTGCCACATCCTATGCAGCGATGTAGTATAAGACCATCACAAACTGGTAAATATACACTATTTGGCACAGGTGAGATATAGCGTGTCGTACATTCATCATGATCCAACAAGATGTTGTAGTTAACCTGTGACACAGCCATTAATCCCCAGAGCTTGAGGCAGGAAATACTTCCAACACTTTGCATTATGTAAGGACTGGAGTGCACCAGAGAGTGTTATGCACTGTTGCAAACGACTGAAAGCAGTTTTTCTGGCTAATTTCAAGTAAGGATGTTGAACGATGGTGTAGACATTGTACCACATGTGTGTGTCCAGAAGAAAACCTGGCTGTATCATGGAAAGCTGTGTCTGAGAGTTGCAGGTTTTCCCCTCAAAAGAATCACCCTGAATACATCTGGTTATCTTCCTGGAATTTAAAAAGTTAGATGATAGGGTCGTTATCGATTATTTCACCAAGTGGGTTGAAGCTTATTCATTGATTATTACAGAAACCTACGCAGTAGGTAAAAACTTACACGGACATCTTTGTGAATGAATATTTTGATTTATTTGTTCACTTGTGTATCCTTTGCAGTCCCTCATTAAAATTGCAATCTGAAGTACATTTCAAGAACTCTTGTGAATACTTACTTTAAACTGCCTGAGGGATGTCAGTGTACGTGAATACCACATCCCCTTACTTTTGTTTACTTCGAACCTTTCTTAACGTGTGTTATTGTGTGTTTATGGTGATCTGAATTGATTTCTAATTGTGAGTAACAGAAATGTTTAGCGAAAAGTATAAAAAAGCAATTTGCGCGAAAAAATATATAAAATATAGTTAAAAACTATTTAACTATAAACCTAACAAAAAGGACTGGCCTTAATTTGTGAATTGTAAATGAGGCCTCTTATTCTAAACAACGACAATATTAATTTTTTTAATTAATTGATTGAAATTGCTTGTTTAAGAGCAAAGCTGCATAGTGGGTTATTTGAATTATGCCTATCACAGAGATCTAACTCAGAATTTTAGCGTTATAAGCCTCCAAAATTATCGCAGTTTCGCTGGAGAGCAAATTAAAGCTAGAAAATTATGGCAGAAAATTAAAAAAGTGGTTATTTCAATAGCATGTTAAATATGTATTTTATTTATTATGTTAGCGATATTTCTCATGGTGGGGCAGAGGTAAGTTTACGGGATTTGTTTTTCCGCGATCGACACAGCAGATAGCCCAATGTCAAACAAACAAAATGTTAGAGATAAAGAAAATAAAATCTTTTTAGAATAATATATGATAATAGTATAACTTTGAACTCACATAATATTTATAGTTCACCAAGCAGTTTCGCCATGACACAGGGGACAATTTTTATCGGCATAGCGGTTATTTTCTATACTTGACTTGAAGTAAAAAATTATTACTGATGCCTTGTTTTAAATGAGCTCTCCCATTATAGTGGATTTCACAAAAATAGTACCTGGACAATGGTTAACTAAAAGTAAGTTTTAAACAATTAGAATATCATAGCTTAGCATAATGAAACATTTTCTGTTTTGTTTGTTTTTGTTTAAACGCAAAGCCATTTGTGCTATGACCAAATGTTATAACCCTCAAACTTTCCGCTCAGCTACAGGAGGATTCATGTTTTGTTCAGGCAAATTAATTAAACTTCAGTTTGCTTAACGGAACAATGCAATCTACTCATTGGAATATTAATTGCTGATATTTTTTGTAATTACTTTAAAAAATAATTTAAATTTGTTGTTTTTCTAAGTAAATGTTGTTGTTTACTTACTGCAAAGCTATACAACGGGTTATTTCCATTTGTTTACTATAGGGAATCGAACTTCAAATTTTAGCGTTTTAAGTATGTAAACTTATCGTTTACTCATCAGGATATTCTGAATAATAACCCTTATATTTGTTGTAAAAACAAACTATATAATGGTCACATATAAAGCTCTAGAACTGATAAAATCTTGTACCATTTGCAACAACCGAATCTTTTCTTTGTAGCACGTTAGACCTGGACTTTGGCCAAATGACCTGCGCAATGCAGAGGGTTGTTTCAGGGTTATGCAAACAATAAATTTTTACCCGATTCCTACATTTTGACGATCAATGATACCATCAACGGCTACGTCTGATCTACCTACCTACCCCTTTAATCTGCACAATGGCTGGCTCAGCAGTGTAATACTGTTCTTATATGGAATAATGTGGTTATATGACTTGTGTTTCATTTTCCGCTGATCTGTCGACTTTGAGGCATGATTAACCAACTTATTTTGATGGATTCTTTTTCCACGAAATGTTTTTGGTCATGTGGTACTGATTATGACATGTCTTAATTTTCTCCTTATTTCTTCCATTTTTGCAGGCACTGAAAAGCAACGTCGAAAAGTTTGTTTTATTTTTAAAGTAAAATCCTTATCTGTCCTACCTTGGAAAATATGTCCCACCTCAAGGACAGTAGCAAATCGCTTTAATTCCGTTTTAGTCAGATCGATAGATCCGTCCCTAAACTAACTTTAATTCTAATATGCACTTATTTTCCACCAGGTGTCGATCATAAAGCTTTCAAACTTTGTGGATGAAACGTAATATTTGCTGGTCTTGTGAATATTGGTTCTGTGATCCTCCTTATGGAAGGTAGTATTGTTGGTTTTTGCACTATATATTCTGTCACACTTGAAAGATTTCACTGAGTGCAGGATTTACCTCATTGACGAAATTTTAATTTTTTGCGCCACATCAGGAAATCGGATGAAAGCTGTCCCTTTCACCCATTGACACTTCTATGAATTTCCATGCGATGTTATTCTCCTCACTCCTCAACACGTTGTAGGCTGTGTATGTTCGTATGCCATTCATCTTTACAAAATGTTAGAGTATGAATAACATTCCTTAGAAAAGTCAAGATACATTTCACTGCATTCGCTCTAACTATCCGTGTGGTGGTTGAAGAAAAGATGAGAATATTCACATACCGAAAAACGCCATTTAATATTTACCGTAAGGGTGAAAACTTCCCGCATTTTTACTCTTTTGTCGGATAAATAATATTAATAATTCACATTGCTAGTAAAGTCTTTGTCATAGTTTCATGTACTATCAAACCCATTTTGATTCAGTTTTTCTAACTTGTAGAAGTAAGCTAGCTAAAGTTTTGAGAAACATTTGGTAAGGGCTAACTACAAATTGTACTGGTAGTGTTAACATGTTTTTAAACTGAAGTTCATATGTAGGTTTTGGAATGTTTGTTTGACAAACAGGAGCTACAACAGTTTACATGTAAATGTGTATTTATAATACTTTAAACTAGTGCAAACGTTCTGTTTATCAGATGGTGATAGGTAAATATAAAACAAAAAGGATTTAAACGCTAATGTCATAATATTAACTGTCCTGTAATATGAGAAACCATGGTAAACCATGGTCAATGACACGTGAGATTTAAAGCATTTAATTATATAAAAACTTGTATACAGAAATTGTTTGATCCTCGGAAGCTGTTTTTAAACAATGATAGAAAAATGTAATAAAAAGCGACTATGTAATCTCTAATATAATTGACTAAACTTAAATGCAGAAAGGCTGAGGTTAGATATGAAACTTTGAAGAGTTAGAAGAAGTAGCCAAATGTATTTTCTTTATTTCAGGCATCGAGAATTTGTATGCCATCTCTGACATGGGGTGAGTTGCCCAACCTTTCATTGTACACACACAGTTCGTTCTCTATAAAGAAATAATTAATAAATGATAGTAACATAAAATTCGGATATATGGAATAACAATATTCGTTATAAATTAAAAGTACTTGATTTGTTTTTCTTATTGGTGAGAAATATATAAATAAGATAACGATCAGTCCCTTTTTTTAGCACGAATCTTAATGTTTAATTAAAGCTTGTACGACACCGAATTTGTAAGAAATATATTGATTTAGAGACTTCTGGGCGATCTAAAAATCTAAGCTTCGTTAATGAATTTAGTTAATTCCTGAATTTCTAATTAATTATGTTTATAACTAAATATATAATCCCGATGTCGCAAGCAAGTTATTTCTCTTTCCGTTTATTTAAACTAGTTAATGTCAAATAGTTTAAATCAATAATTCTTTTTTCTTCTCTAAAAAAAATTATAATATATTAAAAAAAACCCATAGAGCAGTAAGTGACTAGTTATTGAAACCGTACACTTTAGTTAAATAACACAACATTTCGTATTTTTAGCAATCCATTCTTTAAGAAACTTCGATTACTTCCTTATAGGCATCCATATAAAATGGCTGGAATCGATTTTGTGGTACTTGATGACAAGTACTACCCTGATGAAGATACGAACGTCACCTCTCATGAAAAGATGAAGGATGTTTTTAACGCTATCCTCTCTCAGGTAAAGGTACCAGATACTTGACACTCTGTACATTTTGTTAGATTTTTCTAAACTGAAGTAAATAAAATCAAATCCCATTTGGCTTTGCACACTAATTTATTTATTATATACATATTTTGTTTTTAATAATAGAATTGTTCTTTGCCTACTTTGCCATTTTATTTCTAAAACATTAACTAGTATCAGCAGACAGAAAGATCCCTATCAAAGTGTAATGGCACTACTATTAAGGAGGCTTAACAATTTAAACTTTAATATGATGTTAAACTAAGTCCTTGGGGTTTCTGACCTAGCTGCTTAGCCCGCGTGTTGCATATGATATCGTTGAGATTAAAAATATTAAATTATGACAATCTATTAGATTTTTTGTTATTACACGTGAATTGTATAACAAATTTCCCGACAATTTCAAAAGAACTGTTTGGTAGTTGAAGCGCTAGACTCGCAATGTGCGAAACCCAAACCCGAACATGTGCGCCTTTTCAACCGTGCACTATAACGTGACGGTAAATCTCATTACTGATTGGTAAAGGGTCCCTAGGATGTTGCCCTATCTGCAGTCGTTAGCTCACAAGCAGGAATAGCTGAAAATAAAACAGCTCACAAGTAGGAAAAACAGAAAATAAAACAGCTAATAATAATTGGAAATTATTAGTTTAAACAGGAAAATAGATAATTTCTGACGATATTTCCATCAAACTTACTATAAACTTAGAAGATGAATATTAGCATGACTTCTAAACAACCTGTTTTCTTAATCCATGCTACCAAAACAATTCTTCTTTAATTTTCTTCCAATAGTTTCCCCACTGGCTCAGCGGTAAGTTCGATGGCTCATATTTCTAATAACCGGGTTTTGATATCCGTGATGTGCACAACACAAATAGCCCATTGTGTAACTTTGTGTTTAACCCCCCCCCCAGAAAAAAACAACAACAAATCTTCCAACAGTTTCAAATGATGTCTTCAGTATGACACCTTACCGTTACTTGCTGTAATTGCGTTGAATATATCGTGTTAAGAAAGATCTATTTCAATTATTTCTTTACATACCAAAAACGTCAAGTAGCGACTGTTGTTTAGATAAGCTTGAAAGAGTTTTACCTTCCTGGAACCGACAGATAAGTATGGCCATATTTAATTTTTTAGAAATTGATAATTAAATATTTACAATTTATTTCGCAAGGTTTTTAAGGAACAGTTTTTAGTACCTTTTACATTTTGTACATACATAAATATATCCCTGGCGTACAATGAGATAATTATCCAGTACCGCTTACTATAATTTACAAAGTTCCATAAAGCATTACCTTTGCTTCATTTTTCATTGTAGATTGAAAAAAACTGTCAAAGACACTGAAAGCATCAATAGTTTCGACTGCACTAGATTTTAAATGACGTTTTTAGCAGTATGAGTATTTCTCTCTGCATCTCGTTGTAAATGAACATTCATCAGTTTTGGCATACCATTTCCCATCACATATGTGTGTGTGTGTGTGTTTACTCATATAAACAACAGTAAAAATTATTCCTACTTAGCAAGCAATGGTTATTATCAAATGATCATTAGAAAGAAAACATTTAATGATTATAAATTACTGACTTCTATGTCTTAATATTACCAAAAAATTATTTAAAAATATACAATATAAAAATTTAAATATGTTTAAATTATGAAAAGTCACTACATCCAAAACGTTATTCAATGAAAAATGTTTATTAACACAGTAAATAAACTATAACTTATCATTTTAGGTGGAGAACACTCCTGAGGAACAAATATTTCACAAACTTCTGCAGCACTTGTTAAACATTAACACATCTCTAAAAACAATGAAGGAAATTATCTGGGAAACAGCCGAAAGACTTGTACACAGAGCAACTTTGGTGGACAACAAAGAAGATGCTGAAAAACTACTAGCTCATATCAGGGCCTTCAGACACTTTACAAATAGCTTTATTTCGGAAAATGACTGCTGCAAAAGCCGTCGCATCAAATTTCAAAATGATAATAAAGAAAATCGAAGGTCAGTTATGGTCCAATGCTCTCTTGAAGAATTTAATGTATCTATTTATCCTTCCCAGTGTTTCCCCCCATTGTCTCTTACACAAGAATCCTTAAAAAGACACACAGACTCCGAGAAAAAAAAATTCCAATCGTTTTCAAATAGTGAGCTCGAAATTTCAATTCCATCCACAGATTCCTATTCTCTTCCAGCCTCTCCAAATTTTTCACATAACATATCTACGCCAATATCATCAACATCATGTTCATCTTCATCATCTTTAAGTTCTCCGCAAAGTTCCCCACTATCGCCAAAAAGTTCACCATCCTTTACTCCTTTATCGACATTAATCTGTCCACCTCCTCCCCCTCCGCCACCTCCTTTCTTAGGTGCACCTCCGCCTCCGCCCCCTCCTCCACCTCCTTTCTTAGGTGCACCTCCGCCCCCTCCACCACCACCTTTCTTATGTGCACCTCCGCCACCTCCCCCGCCGCCACCGCCTTCTTTAGGTGCACCTCCGCTACCTCCTCCACAGCCACCACCTTCTTTAGGTGCACCCCCGCCACCTCCCCCACTGCCACCGTCTTTATTAGGCACATCTCTGCCCCCTCCCCCACCACCACTGGGTGCTCTGCCTCCACCTGTACCAGGAATGCTATCAATGATTCATGCTGCCCTTCCCCAACAAGCAATTCCCAAACCTAAGAGCAAAATGGTATCATTAAATTGGAATAAAATCCCAATTCAAAAAGTAGTTGGCCGAAACAACTTGTGGGCCTTGGTTGCAGCTAGCCATAAAGTGACATCTAACATTCTAGACTTTGAAGAGATGGAAGGCTTATTTTGTCAAAAAGCAAAAGGTACTTCAAAACATGGCAAGGACTATACTGATGTCGGAAATAAAAATTCTACTGACTTATCAAATCAAAAGAAAAAGGAATCTCAAGAAGTAAGTTTATTTTGAAGCATATTGAATTAAGGTTAAAATAATATTAAGTGTTTATTTCTGCAACTCCAGTGTAAGACATATCAGTTTCATACTCTTTTCCAAGTTACTATTAGGTTATACCAAAGTTTGGTAAATATTTTAGCACCTTTTAGACTTGGAAATCTCCATATCATTTTTGACCATAGAATAACTAATTGGGTCCATCAAATTTTCAAACCTTTTTTATAAACTATTTTTTCATCATATTTCATGTGGGTCCATGACTTTTTTTCTATAAGTCACATAAAAGCATTTAAACAAAAATACCATATAAACTGCAATTAATTCCACTGTTTATGCTTGGTGTCTTATATATATTTTACATACAAATTTAATAATTTTAGCTTTTTGTCAGTTCTCTACAATGAGGACTGTAACACGCAAAACCATAAAATTACACAAAATAATTCAATATGTGGATCCCACCGATAGTGATTAATATAAAAACAGTCTGTGATTTGGGTGTTGAAATATAAACAAATAAAAATCAAATCAAAAGTGAATCAAGTTTTTTTACTTTGGGCCTTATTTATTACGATAATATTCAGCTAATATTTGTATTAGTAAATAATATAGTACATTTGATATTATAAAGTGAATTTACGTGACTATGACATGGTATGATGCTACATGACATTGCTTTCTGCATTATTTGTGGTGTGTTTTACGTAACAAATGTTTGAAATCGTAAGGTTTATAAATTTTTCAGGAAGCCTTTTTTTGCAACCCATAGCAATAGGATAGAGTAGTTTCCCTTGATGGATTATGATCTTTCGTATAGTGTTACAAGTTGTAAACAATGCGAGAAGCTTCTTCATTTTTGTAAACTTAGTATATATTCTTTTTCTTCTATCATTCCACTATTTTGCTTTACATCTCTGTTCATAGTGTTAGGTAATTTGCATCATTCTTTATTACTGCACACAAGTCTTTCTGGTGTCACTTCAGCTTTGGGTTGTAGAAACAAACAGCATAGCATGTAATTATTGCAACTTCTTCGTCTATTTAATAACTAACTTTAACTTTTCATGGGTGAACTTAAAGCTATATTTTGTGTAAGTTTGTTCAGACTTGTTATCCCCAAGGCGACTACAAGGAAGATCCAATGTCATTTTTCTGACCAAAAATGAGAAATGCTGAAATGTAAAAATGGAGCCTTAATGTTGTTGTACTGTCATTAGCAGAAATGGCACATAACACTTTTTTGTTTCTACGTGCATGGTTAGTTATTTCAGTGCCATGCATTTTGCCAGTGCATCTGAAGATGAATGGATAAACTTTATCTTAAATTTCGCAGTTCCCATTCTTTTGTTTCTATTTCATCATACTAGACTATTTTAAATTTGGTATTTATTCATAATGATGTTATCCTTCGTTGGGTCAGTGGTAAGTTTACGGACTAACAACGCTATAATCCGGAGTTTGATATCCAGACTACCAGGATAACAATTTGCACTCTGGTTTCTCTATTTAGAGTGATAGTTCGCAAATTCATGCTGCTGTGTAAAATGCCCAGAATAATGTTGTGTATTTAAAAAATAGTGTGAAAACGTATGAAAGCTAAAAAACCCATGAAATTGCTATTTAGTGAAAATAAGATTAAAGGGGGTTCAAAGTTGATGACAGTTTTATTTATTTATTGTTCAGTTGCTTTTAATACGAAGCTCTTTTGCAGCATAACATATACTTATTAGCCTAAGCACATACACTATGTCGTTTGAAACATTAGCACAGCACACCTACAGTTAGTAGCATACGTGAATGCACTGTTGCCAAAAAATAAATCGCGCATTTCATTTTAGGACAGTGCATAAATTATACGAGTGAAAGTCAAATCCTACTTTTCGATTAGAAAAGTCCGATAATTGGTGGTGAATGCTCTTGATTAGCTGCCTTTCATCTAGACTATGAGTTTAGAAATAGATATGGATAGCACAGGTAGCCCTTGCATAGCTTTGAATGAATATGAGAAAGTAGCCAAACCAAACCTACAGTTATTAATGAGTCAGTATTCACTAAGTTTGCACGTGAATCTCATAGTCCAATATCGCTACACTCAGTCAGTTATAGTCAACACGCAACAAGGAAAAGAGTTCGCAAGCCCTTCTAAAAGCGTTGTTTTAAGTGCAGAATTGGTGGTATAAATATTTGAGATATTTCAGACCATCTATTCGCAACTATATGTATGCTGAAGAAATCTGACGCTACTGGACGAGCCTATGTGAAATGTGGGCCCGGCTAACGACATGAAGTCACTTCTCACATCATGCACACTTTGAAACGTGCTTTAAAATAAAACTGCATCACTATATCGACCAACCTAAACTCAAGTAGGAATTCAGAAGTGCTGGCTGATACATCAACTATGCACAAGAAATTCCATGTTATTGGCTATCATACATTGTAGAACTTCACGAGCAACTTATTACAGCAGTGAATACAAATAGTTGGCTCTCATGTTGACTTGAGTGTTGAAACAGAAGTGGAGAACAATGAAAACATTGTTTTGTAGGAGGATGAAACCGTCTAATGGTTGTTTACCTTGAACAGAGGTGTATAAGTTTGATGACAACCTGAAGAATACTTTGAATATGAATATGTCACCCCTGCTATGAAGCCTGAGGGTGAAGTATCGCGAAGCTGGCCTGTAACTGTTATAAAGCCATAAATAACTTGTATTATGGCAGTGTAGTCAATGCCGCACTACTAGTAATGATGGAATTCTGTGGGTTAGTAGCATACATCTTTCATGAAAATGCATTATACGTTGTCAAGCAGTTATTTTTTATACTGATATCGTTCAGCCTCGCCTTTTTCAGCCAAGAACACTTGTCTGAAGTCAATTGAACAGTTAAATCTTGCTACATCCTTGAAGCTGCTTTGCAAGAGGAGTCGCAGTTTCTTCAGACAAGTACGTTCCAACGGTTGGTGGCATTATCAATAGTAGAATAAAAGCTGTGATGAACGATAAAAGTTAAAATCGGAACACAGCAGTTTCCTTCATAATAACAAAATAACCGAATACATTTTCTTAAATAAAGAAAATAATAAACTAAAATTGTTGTTAAACGGTTTTATTTTGTTTGTTTAAAACATGATTACACAGGTTCAAAGTTGAGGACAATCTTTTTACTCTTCAGTTGTTTTTAACAATACTACAGGTGTAAAGTTGAGGGCAATCTTTTTATTCTTCAGTTGTTTTTAACAATACTACAGGTGCAAAGTTGAGGACAATCTTTTTATTCTTCAGCTGCATAAGTGTGGTATGTAGGCATACATGTTTCTTAACCCCCTTTATTTGATATACGTTTCTAAAATTTCTGTACATATTGTATGTTTAGTTTTAATATAGAATGTAAATCAACACAACCTCTAAGATCATTTTGCCTTAGTTACCTTTTGAACGGGATCATTCAACTAGGGTGTCACATGACCTTCTTATGGGAAATACTCCTGTAAAGTGGAGCATGCTATATCGAAATAGACTTTGTTTTTTTACATTAGCAGGTTGAATTTTGTAGTTAGACTGACTATCATTCACGTGGGTACCGCCTGCATTGTTATTTTAAGTGTATAATGTCATGTTTCTTCAATCTGAAACATGATGATTTAGATTCAATCCACCTCCTATCTAAAGCTCTCCAGTAAACTATAC